TGTTTGATACCATAAAATGTATGGTACAGTAAAATGTTTGGTACATTAAAATGTTTGATACCATAAAATGTATGGTACAGTAAATTGTTTGGTACATTAAAATGTTTGATACCATAAAATGTATGGTACAGTTAATTGTTTGATACAGTAAAATGTATGATACAGTAGAATGGATGATACAGTAAAATGGATGATACAGTAAAATGTATGATACAGTAAAATGTATGATACAGTAAAATGTTTGGTTCATTAAAATGTTTGATACAGTAAAATGTTTGAGACAGTAAATTGTTTGATACAGTAAAATGTTTGATACAATAAAATGTATGATACAGTAAAATGTTTGATACAGTAAAATGTTTGATATCATAAAATGTATGATACAGTAAAATGTTCGCTTTGTTTTGTTCTGTATCGACTCACTTATTTTATTAACAAGTACTATACAATAAGTATTGCACAATATTGTTCGATATGCGAGCATTTAAATTTCAACTGATTTTGTCTTTGCTAAAATAATCATTATAACTTTTAAAAAAATATTAGATGGATATTTTGACATTTTGATCGCATGTACACACCTATGGCACGTGATATCCAATTCAACAAATCATATGTCTTGATGAATTCGTGAACGTATGCATAGGTCATCATGGGTCTAACACTATATGGACAAATGTATAAGCATCGTAAACCTTGGAACCCCATAGCAGGGAATCAGGATGTGTAGCAATGCATGAGAGTAGATTGAAACACCTCAGAGTGGAAACTCTGGGTACATGAAATATAGCTTGTTTCATGTTCAACAGGTCTAGGACACATGATTAAGAAAAAAGACTGATACTAACAACACCCCAGTAGCCAATCAGAAAAAAGACGTCAAAGATCTTGAAATTTAAATCCACGAGTTTAGAACTGAGACGTAATGTCGTACTGTAGGTAATTAAAATCAAATGTCAAGGTCGGAAGGATAAATGAGATTCGAGTTCATGCAGTTCATAGAAAAGATATCATCGGACGAAATGAATATGAACTACATGAACTGTGACTACCTTAGGTCACCTCTCCTTTCTATATGAAGTGTTACTACCTTAGGTCACCTCTCCTTTCTATATGAAGTGTTACTACCTCAGGTCACCTCTCCTTTCTATATGAACTGTGACTACCTTAGGTCACCTCTCCTTTCTATATGAAGTGTTACTACCTCAGGTCACCGCTCCCCCTATTATTGTAAGTTGGCTACCTCATGTCACCTTCCCCCTATATGATCACTTATATCTCCTCTTTATTCTGTGACTGCCTGACATTTTGCAGGGCTGTGACTACCTGACAAACTGGGCTACCTCAGGTCACCGGGTTAGCTTATCTTATATCAGGCGATCGACCTTAGGGCAATGGGCTACTTATTTATAGGTCATTAGCTATAGGTAGACGTGAGAGGAGGCATAAGGTGACCACAGTGAAGTAGTAGTTATAGTAAATTTAAAAGGAGAGAGATGACCTTGGGTATTTGCAGTATTCAAACAAGTCCAAAACTTAGGACGGTGCTTGTTCGCCTTGTATTATAGGGGAAGTAACTCTGTCTGTCTTGATACAGGAAAGCTCAAAGTAGTTACCTATTTAAAAAATGTATCCGGGTATAACGATGGACATCTAACTTACAAAAATGCTACTTTCGGAGATTTAGGCCCTAAAAAGTATATGTAAACTTTGATATATTTAACATCAATTAGGAAACAAGTTATTATCACTCAGGAAACCGGAGAACCCGGAGAAAACACATAAGTCGGGTAAGGTCATACCTTTTCACCTGCCTGACCGCCCTGGAACTGGTAACTCAAACGTTATTTATATATGTTTCCGTTTGGTGAGTGTATTACGCAATTAAATTACCTAAGATATATGATTTATATGCATTACAACAGGAAATGTCGAAAGTCGGTGGAATTTGTTTATAAATAAAGTATTATCAAAATAAAGTACAATGTACAGGTGATTTTCCAAAAATTGATTTCCCAACGTGTCTTACTTTCTGAAATATCCGTGTCAATAAAATATAGTCATTGTTCATGCATGAATAACTAATTGGATAATTATTTTACTATATTTATTGTATTTTCATCGGACGATAAAACGAGACCGGAATATGGACATTTATAATTTTGTAATTGTTAAGTATGTCTATCGTCGCCATATATTGGCTTTCAAGTATGCAAATATCAAAAGCCAGTTACTATATTAATATAAAGGAACTGGCGAGATTTTGTGACTCAAATGATGATAAGTGTGGCCGTATCTAGTACTATATCTACGTTGTAATATTTAACTCTTTACAGTGCTGCACACCCGTGAAATATACATGGCAAAAAATGTTCATTTCACTTGTGATATATAAGTTACTCATCAAGAAAATAAAGAAATAAATTTGAATATCTCATTTATTAATGACTGAATTAATGACGACCTTCATCCTACATGTTTTATATTCTTTTTAATAATGATTCAAATAAGATTATGATCACATTCTGTGATTTTCTTCGTATTTGTTTCCTGTTTGATTAAAACATTTTCATCCAATACATCTATTGTGTTTGCTTTATCGCCACGCGTCAATATGTTAACAAGAAAGACAGAAATATTTCCGGATATTTTTGTAGTTCGGTTCCAACTTCTATTTTGACATCACTTCCGGAATATGGATGAAACTGTTTGGAAATATATTGTTTTGCTGTTTGTTTTGATACCATTTTGTCAGTATGCACATGCAGGATGCCAGGGTTTTGGTGCACCAGAAGTATACGCAATCACATCTAGCGAAGCTGACAGTAAACGCGATAGCCATGGCAATTTGTTCATCTACGCGAATATGCAGCAGAAACTGCAGTTGGTGGGGAGGAACCTGACTGGCCTCGGTAAGGTTACCTTCACAACCCACGGTGATAGCCAACCCGGGTCCCCATGCAACGAATATGACCAGACGGAGACATATCAGGTAAATATTGGTTAGCTGAAGACGACTGCAAAACAGATGCACCAATAATACTGAAATAAATGCAAACATGATTGCGAAATCCTATTGCTCGGGGGGCTCCAAAAGGGATTGTGTATAACCAACCTGTCATAAAAAAACATAAATTTAGATTGTTGCTACCACTGCAAAATGTGCTTGGGACTATACTTAATCGTTCCGAGACAAAAAATTCAAATATGGTTACGACTATAACTGAATTTGGGAATTTTGCATGTCCTGCACATACAAATTTGCACCTGCCATGGTATCACCAGGGTGTCCAAATCATTCCGACATGTTTAGCACAGTAAGCTATTCCAGAAATTGGATCAAAGCTTATAATTTATTATTATATTTAAGGTGTATTGACACACACATGGCTAGCACCTAGCTGTGCTCTAAATAATATTGCAAGAAATAATAGTACAATGTAGTTAAAAAGGTACTATTCATTTTTCTTTATTAGCTTTTTACATGAACGTCACTCAAAGTGAAGTAGATATGTTCCTGTGGTTATTGACTCACACACACCTAACATATTAAACGTTTATATGAAGAGATTGATGGTCAGTAGACTGACAGACTGACACTCTATGATTGTGTATAATGGCTGCAGGCCCAATCTGTCTGCAGGGCATAATACAAACAAATACTACAGATGGCATTTTATAAGGATACAAACATGTGTGATGCGTACATGTAACAGATATAGTAAGAGTTTTAGAAGGTGTTCTTTATATTCCAGTTATAAATTTAAAAGATAGGTTATTCTTATTGTACATTTTACAATCCTTTGAACTATCAGGACTTTCACTCAGTAGCTATATAGACCCTTCAGATCATGAGAGCATCTTTTTGACTCCCCAAATTGAGCTTTGTAAGGACTCTTTTATTGACATGTGTTCATTTTGACCTTTCTAATATCAGACAATTAATGACAGTTGAAATTCTGACTATTATCTTCATGTACAATGTAGTTCATATAAATTTTGATATTACATATTCATGTATGTATAAATGGTACAAAACAAATCATGCCAGACCGATGTTCATTAGAAGGGTAAACTAAATACAAATGTACATTTTGTACAATATTTAATCTACAAGAACAAAATTTCAATTGAAACAACTTTCTTGTACATCTGGATTTCAATTGACATCTATTTTGGTTATGAATGGAACCCTATTCAGGATGTGCTCTTTAGTTCTAAATGTTCAGACTAAATGTCTTGTGTGTACAATATTTGCACAGATTTTGGTATTGTGTGTGAAAAAGACATACTAAAATGATCAGATTGTAATAGACAGTATTTCTTCCTGTAACATTATGTATGACCAACCCTGCTAATTATATATATATATAAACATGTAATTTTTCCTCCAATATTTTTTGAAATACTATGGACAGGGTGCTAAACTACATAATAATGTATGCTCTCCTCATGCTCATATGCTTTTAAAACATATTATACAATATGTATTGTAATAATACATAATTTTTCAATCCCATTTTTTTTTTAAATTTAAAGAATTATTAAAAAATCATTCTGTTTCCACTGTTGGCCTCTGTAAAGAATAGGCCCAAAAATAAAATTTGTATGTTTCAGGTAACATATGAATGAAAAAAATAAACGTGTAAGTCAGTTGGGATTTATTATTGTTTTATCTTCATTGTTTTGGGGGGTTGGGGTGCTTATATATTTAAAATGTACTGCAATTACAAGACTTATCAATTGTTATGTGAAATTAAGAAATTACAAAAATCACCAAACCTAGATATTCAGACAAATTGTGCTAGGTGTTTTTGAACAATAATATGGGATTTAAGGTTGGTTTTGATACGTATACGTACCCGCCTATGATATAGAGATATCAGTGTTCTAAAGATGCTTATGATTTTTGGGGAGCTTGAATGGGACTTAAATATATGTGCATCCAAGTGAGATAAAATTGTTAGTGTCAAAAGTAAAAACTAGGGTCGGTCGGGGTACCTGAAACATACATGAAAGATTACATGTACATTAATAATAATATATGTACATATAGTTATAAAAAAAATAAAAGACCAGAGTTTCTACGACTTCCCTAGCGCTTTCTCCTCTTTAGAGGTTCATCAGGGGAATGGTCTATTCACGTTGACAGGACAACAACACAACACAGAAAGTGATCGACGTCATGATACATTATGACGTCGCAATACAACCTACCAAAATTGACGCCAAAATTAACAATGCACTTTATAACGTCAACATTTGAGGAACAACAAAGATGGTGTTACAGAAATAGATACAGTTATATAAACTTACAGGCATGAGTATAGCAACAGACTTTTTCACATACTTTTTCTTTATTTATTCATGTAACGATCGATCTGTGCTGTTAGAACAATTTAAGTCAGGTTTTAATACATCGATTAACACTGATTCTTTTGACTCTCGCTGTACAGTGTCCTCTGTAGCTTGATATAAGAAACTACATGGAACTTATCATTTGCACAAGAATGTTTATGCTTATAACAGTTAACAATCTAAGATGGTCACTTTTTTTGTCTGTTGTCTGTGAAGTGTCATATATAATGTTGACGTAATTCACAACAAAATTGTCCCATGTAAAATTCAGAACAACTCGCACAGATCATTGCATAAACAACATTATAGTTATATGTACATATATATATATAGTAGATAATAAATAAGTCCTTGAGAAGGAAAATATAGAATAAAAATATAAATCTGTCAGATCTATATAAATATAGTCAGTTTTTCGGTAGATTATTGGAAAAAAACACCTGACTAGTGTACATATAGTCTATACGTATACGTATATATACTGTCAACGTTTTGTCTGATCCAACTCTTCTATAAATAATATTTAACTGGATATTGTTTTTATCTTAATGTCTGTGTCTAATTTGGTCTGTACATAAAGCCTGTTAATGTCTGACTGACCTCGGGCTGTAACAGGTAAACACAGGTCTACCTACTACAGATATATGTCATGTTTACAGCTAGCTATCACATTTACAAGTTCAGGAGCTGTAGATATACATGTATGCTGTATAAATGCACCATGTCAAGGTCTATAATCAGACTATATATATAGACCAGCATGTATGTAGTACAAAAAAATCATCCATGTAGCATATTTTGTGTGTATATGTACATGTTTACATATAAACAAAACTACAACTTAGCTGCATATTAATTCGTTTTGATAATATGTATATTTTTATTATCAAATGATTGTAAAGAACCTGCCTTAGCGCAATTAACAAATTAAAAGACTTCCACCAAACAGGGTCTTATATTCACTATCTTAAAGGCCATCAAATTAAAATAGATATGCATAAATGACGTACAGAATGTACAAGAAATATTTTGTGGAATTGGTATAGCCACATCGACACTGAAAAAGCTTTGGTTCATAATTAGCTCATTATAATTGATTAGATTAATTTACACTGTACCGTTAATTAGACAAAATTGTGAGTGCCCCATCCCTTATTTCTGCCTGCCCCCCCTTGTCCTTTTTTGGACAGAACGTTTTGTCCCTTCACTGTAATTTACTGACTTAGCTGAAAAATACTGGGTAGTACAAATATATTCATCTATGGTACATATATTTATTATGGCCAGATATAGAGGCAAATGCACAAGGGTGATGACTGATGAGTTATGTACAGTACTTTACTAGAAATATGTATATACTCAATATAGACTGCTTTTTTTTGTAAATAATGGATGAGAAAAAAGTATACATCCTTTACTATATAGTTATAACTTTCCCTGCTTCATGTCTTATTTTAAGATTCTTTATTGTAAATATAACATCAGCTGAAAAAATATACATTAACATGTTATGTATGCATACATCTAAATATATTGTAAGGAAACCCTAGCATTTTTAGGTCACCTGAGCTTTAGCTCAAGTGACCTATTGCTATCCGTTTTCGTCAGTCGTCGTCCGTTAACATTTTACATTTCAAACTTAAAGTCAAGTTCTGCTGGGCCGATTGAACTGAAAGTTGGTAGGAATGATCGACTCATGGTCCTGACAAAGTGTTGTTATTTTTCGGGTCGATCAGAAATCCAATATGGCCGCCACAGCGGCCATTTTGAAAACCTATTTCAAACTTAAAGTCAAGTTCTGCTGGACCGATTGAACTGAAAGTTGGTAGGAATGATCGCCTCATGGTCCTGACAAAGTGTTGTTATTTTTTGGGTCGATCAGAAATCCAATATGGCCACCACGGCCGCCATTTTGAAAACCTATTTCAAACTTAAAGTCAAGTTCTGCTGGACCGATTGAACTTAAAGTTTGTAGGAATGATCGACTCATGGTCCTGACAAAGTGTTGTTATTTTTCAGGTCAATCATAAATCCAATATGGCCGCCACGGCCACCATTTTGAAAACATATTTCAAACTTAAAGTCAAGTTCTGCTAGGCCGATTGAACTGAAACTTTGTAGGAATGATTGACTCATGGTCCTGACAAAGTGTTGTTATTTTTCAGGTCGATCAGAAATCCAATATGGCCACCACAGCTGCCATTTTGGTAAACTATTTCAAACTTAAAGTAAAGATCTACTTGGCCGATTGAACTGAAACTTTGTAGGAATGATCGAATCATGGTCCTGACAAAGTGTTGTTATTTTTCGGGTCAATCAGAAATACAATTTGGCTGCCATGGCCGCTATTTTGCTACTAAGTTCTAATAGGCCGATCTCACTTAAAATTGGTCTAGGAATGATCAGCTCATGGTCCTGACAAAGTTAAGTTAACATTATACTATTTTTTACTCAAATTGGTACATATTTCAACAACAAAAATAAATATTGTAGACTCAGGTGACCGTTAAGGCCCATGGGCCTCTTGTGTGAGTATTTTTGTCATTCTTCTTGAATGAACCAAGAAATTGTTTGACGGACATTTGAAAAAATAAATAATTCATAAATATGAAGTTAATGACATTATTTATATACTTCATACAATGAAAATTTAATATTCATGTTTCATACGTGTATGGTATGCAATGCAAAATTGGTGCCTGTTCATGTGTTTTAATACATGATATACATTTTGTATATTATTTATTTCATATCTACATGTGTACCTGTATATATACATGTATAATATAAGTTGTACATGTTAAACCTGGCAGCAGTATAGATTGTTTCTTTTCTGTGATAAGAAACAATAACTAATGCTAAAAATATATTCTAACTTTAATTTGTATATATATACAAACACTAATCAATGATTGTGCAGATTTACAATAGAAAGACGTCATAGCTATATAGCCGTATAGCTAAAAAGTCAGTTCAGCGCGAAAACAGTTCAGAAGTAGATCAAAGGCACTGGATCTACCTCTATATCTAAACTGTGTTTTGTTGTCTGGTGAAGATTTGGGTAGATATCGTCAATGAAAAGATCAGGTATACTAGCTTTTATCACCAGATTGGGTTCAGGTATAAAGTTGGATGTAGACCTTGGCACAGTTGTTCAAGTCTGACAAGCTTAATGACCTTTTAATGCAAGACTTCCATCTTGAATTTGTTCCCCACATTATATTGACATTCAAAACTTAAACAAAATGTTAAGGGTTTCATAGTGATCTCATAAACACAGGAAATTATACAAAATATTGTGTTTTCAGATTTTTTATATTCCTTTTTTTTTTTGAAGATTTGGGTTTATGAATTGTAAAGCTAATCAAGTTTGAACTGCTGGCTTCAGGTAGTTAATTACAGTGTCATATAGTGCATATTATCATATGTATTACAGGTAGGACGTATATGTACGTCATGATGATATATATGTGACAGTAACGACAGTGTCAAAAAAGAGTTGTCCTAGAAATTAATTCCGCACTGATATGTGTTAGCATATTAATGTAAAACACAAGTTTTGTTATGCATAATAAGCAATTTCATGGCTATAACAGAGTCATATATATGCAAATCAGAAGCTTGCTGAAAGAAAGAATATTCCACTCAGATTGAATGAAACAGAGTTTTTTGAGTTGAGTAGATAGAAATTCCACAACTTGCTACATCTGTTTTAAGGATATCTGTCTCCATGCACTGTGTTTTTCCAGACATGCAGTATAATTATATAAGCTCCCATTATGTTAAGTTTAGATATTACTGTAGAACAATTAGGCCAGGACACTTCCATTGACCATGTATATATATGTCTGAAGAATCTCCTAGAAGAGATGAAAGTACTAAAGACTCGTTGTTGAGAATGTTTCTTTTTATAATATTCTTCGTCCGTAAGGATAATTTTTCTGCTTACATATATATATATTTACAATCAAAGACAATTATTTGCTGCAGGCTTTTTTAGAGGATTTAAACATTTTGAAATTATCTCCATTAAGAAAAATATTAGCATTACAAATATCATAATTATAACCACTAGTGCAGTAAGCTCCCTAATGTAATCAAATAATCAAGAGGTTTGGGATTCAAATCTCCCATAACTATAAACCATAAACAGAATGTATTTCTTTTATAAAATTTTAACCTACATATATATTACCACACTATCCAATAGTATAGTAAATCAGCAAAGCAACTTTTGAGTCAGAATGTTTTTTCTAAAAATCTTATCTTATAGAGATGCAATTGCATCACGGAGAACTTGGACTCTTTACCTTTAATGATATTTAAGCATTACTTTTTATCAATAAATAAAACAAAGGTATTAGAAAAGGTGCATTTCTTTGGCCATAGCTTTCTTCTACAGGTGTATACAATTTATGCAGGGGGATTACTTCCCTTTGTCCATATTCTAAATTGTAACCAAAAAAAGCATGGATCATGTTAAAAAGTCGATCTTGAAACAAAACAAAATGTGCATTGCACAGTTAAACACAAGAAACTGATCAATTCATTGTCAGTTTTGTTTAAAGTGGTCCGGTAGTTCAGAAATTGTCAGGAAACTTTTCTGTCTGATGGGTGGACAGACAGTCAACCTGTTTCTGGTATACATGTAGTTTAGCAAGAAACACATGAACTTACATCATGCTTTTCCTTTAACTTTGTAAGAACTAGTCAGTTCATACAAGTATATCAAGACATATTTTAATGGCTATGGGTTTGAAGATTACTCTATATACTGCAACTATATATTTATAAAAAGAATAATTCTCAACAACGAGTCTTTAGTACTTTCATCTCATCAAAGAGATTCTTCAGACTCTTTTTAATAATAGTCTCAAGAATCTCCTTGACAAGATGAAAGTACTATAGACTCGTTGTTGATAATTTTTTCTTTTTATATTATTTCTTCATTTGTAAGGATCATTTACTGCTTTTATAATATATATATATATATAACATGTGTACTGCATGTTTCCATTCCTCGTCTAGACAGGTTTATTATTTATTATATTATCATTATAGGAGGCACGGTAGTCTAGTGGTAGGGCACCAGGCTTGTGACTGAAGGGTTGCATGTTTGAGTCACAAAAAGGCACTGTGTTGTATCTTTGAGCAAGATACTTTACTCTGCTTTTTCCAGTCTACTCAGCTGTAAATGAGTATGTGGTTGGGCAGTGCTAGAATTGTTGAATGCTAGCTGTTAGCGCCAAAATGGCAGCTCTGTCTGTATGCTCCCCAGGGAGTTGAGAAAGGTATTGGCTGGTTGCAAAGGCCCAATAACCACAGATAACAGTGTGTGAACCGCTTTGAGACAACCTACGAACTAGGTTGTGATACAGCAGTATATAATTAAGAACCTCAAATTATTGATTATTATTATTAGCTCACCTGGCCCGGTGTTGGGCGTCAAAATTTTGCTTTAAACAACTTCTTCTGAATATCCAAAAGGCAGAGGGTGATGATATTTGGCCCGAAGCAAACTGGGATAAAGGGCTACAAATTTAAAGTTTGTTAAAATGAATGACCTTCACCCATTTTCAAGGTCACAGGGGTCAAATATGTTAAAAACTTTAAACAACTTCTCCCCAATAACCAAAATGTCCAGGGTGATGATATTTGGCCAGTATCTTGCAGCGATGAAGGGCTACCAAGTTTGATCAAATAAATTACCTTGACTTATATTCAAGGTCACAGGAGTCAAACATGTTAAAATCTTTAAACAACTTCTCCTCAATAACCAAAATGCCCAGGGTGATGATATTTGACCAGTAGCTTGCTGAGATGAAGGGCTACCAAGTTTGATCAAACAAATGACCTTCAATTATTACTGAAAAACCAAAATGCCCAGGGTGATGATATTTGGCCAGTATTTTGCAGCGATGAAGGGCTACCAAGTTTGTTCAAATGAATGACCTTTACCCATATTCAAGGTCACAGGGGTCAAATATGTATTAAACCTTTAAACAACTTCTTCTGAAGAACCGAGAGAGCCAAGGTGATGATTTTTGGCCAGTAATATGCTGGGATGAAGGGCTACTTAGTTTGTTCAAATGAATTACCTTCACCCCATATTCAAGGTCACAGGGGTCAAATATGTTAAAAACTTGAAACAACTTCTCAATAACCAAAATGCCCAGGGTGATGATAATTTGCCGGTAGCATGCTGAGATGAAAGGCTACCAAGTTTGTTCAAATGAATGACCTTCACCCATATTTAAGGTCACAGGGGTAAAAGATGTTTAAAACTTTAAACAACTTCTACTCAATAACCAAAATGTCCAGGGTGATGATATTTGACCAGTATCTTGCTGCGATGAAGGGCTACGTAGTTTGTTCAAACAAATGACCTTCACCTATTTTCAAGGTCACAGGCGTCAAATATGTGTAAAACCATTAAACAACTTCTTTTGAATTACCAAGAGGCTTAGGGTCATGATATTTTGCCAGTTAGATGCTGGGATGAAGGGCTACCAAGTTTGTTCAAATGAATGACCTTTGCTCATATTCAAAGGTCACAGGGATCAAATATGTTTAAATCTTTAAAAGACTTGTTCTGAATATTCAAAAGGTCCAGGGTTATGATACTTAGCCAGAAGTATGCTGGGACGGAAGGCTATACACAGGCGTCATATGTTTAAATCATTTAATAGATTCAAATGAATCAAACACAGATATTTTGCCTGTAGCTGTATTTTAGTCCACTTTTAATTAATACCAGGTGAGCAATTCAGGCTTATTGGGCCTCTTGTATTTAATAATACTATTTTGCAGGTTATGGATGCCAGCGCTGATGGTCGGTATGCCACGGTGACAGTGAATCTTCGCTCCTTCGGTCCGGGGGAGAGGTACTACCATATCTGTACTAAAGACCAGCAGGTAGACAGCTGCTGGTACCACCAAGGGGAGAATGATCTGTCACGTATTGTGGTGGTAGTGAAAGTGGAAGAAACCACCCTGCTGCCATTATGGATACAGATTGCCCTCATTGGATTACTTCTTTGCCTCTCTGGCCTCTTCAGTGGCCTCAACCTCGGATTGATGTCCCTGGACAAAACAGAATTGAAAATCATAGAAAAATGTGGTTCTAAAGATGAAAAAAGTTATGCAAAAAAGATAAATCCAGTTAGGAAGCGTGGTAACTTCCTCCTTTGTACTCTTTTGTTAGGTAATGTCCTTGTCAACAACACTCTCACAATATTGCTGGACGATGTGAGTAACGGTCTGTATGCAGTGATAGGTGCCACACTCGGCATCGTGATATTTGGAGAGATCATTCCACAGGCTATTTGTTCTCGACATGGGCTGGCTGTGGGGGCTCGGACTATCTGGCTAACTCGTATCTTCATGCTTATCACATTTCCTTTATCATTTCCTATTAGTCTTTTACTGGATAAAATTCTAGGGGAGGAAATTGGTCAGGTGTATGACCGTGAAAAATTGTCTGAGCTTGTGAGGGTGACTAAAGATTTTAATGACCTTAATAAAGAGGAAGTGGATATTATAGAAGGTGCATTAGAATTGACAAGAAAACCTGTGAAAGACATTATGACCAAAATTGAGGATGTGTATATGTTAGATTATTTATCTCTTCTAGATTTTGAGACAGTGACAGAAATCATGAAGCGGGGCTACACCCGTATTCCTGTATATGAAGGAGATAAAAGTAATATTATTGCTCTACTCAACATCAAGGATCTTGCCCTGGTTGATCCAGATGATAGAACACCATTGAAAACTGTCATCAAGTTCTTCCAGCACCCCCTGGTGTTTGTGTTCGACGACCAGAAACTGGACCAAATGCTGCAGGATTTTAGGAAAGGTAAGTCCCTGCCATTGGAGATATCTACTCTATACATTGATAGAGGTTAAGTTGCGAGACAAACCTGATAGCACAACATTTGTTCTACAGAATAGAGTCGAGGTAAATTGTATTAGTATCACATCGGTTCTACAGCAATGGGAGATAATCATGTATGACTCTTAAAAAACCAAATATAAGGTCATTAATTGTTATTTCAAGGATAGACTGTACTGGTATAATTGAAAATCTACAATATATAAGGATAATTTTCATATAGCAACAGAGGAGAATCATCACCAAGTGACAAAGTGGAGTGTAAGGCCCCTTAAAACACTAGCCCTTAATTGACTTGCAGAGCCTCATCATGATATATCCAAGGACATACTGTCACCATAGAAGCTTAGTTGTTGTAAAGACTTACAATGTAACAGACTAATACATAATATTGTTGCTGACATGTGCATCATACCTATCAGTCTAGTACGTATATATAGTAGATAATAAATAAACAAGTTCTTGTAAAAGAAAATATAGAAAAAAATATAACGTAAATGATAAATGTAAGCTAAGGCAGATCTTGGATATTATTATTTTATTCTATATATATATATATATGTGTACAATTGAATTTTGAAAGGATAGTATGGCGGTGTATTTATATTGCTTTTGATATCTGTCTGTACATATACTTATGTTTGTATGACTGTGAATATCTAAGTAAGATGTTATTATCGATACCAGAACTAGAGTCATACATGACTTTGCACCTATATCTATATATATATAGTGCTGATAGATGCCATATATTTGGTCAATATTGACAAGGTAATACTTGCATTGACAAGCATGTATATGGAACATCTTTGTGTGCAGTTGATTACAGTGTTTAGCAGTTATTTCTGTATTTGATGACAGTCATTTGTGTATATTTACTGTTCACCTGCCTCGAACTCTGATACAGACTGCTGGTGACCAGGTAGCTCAATGAGTAGAGTGTTCGTCAAGAGTGGAAGTCCTGGGTTTGAATCCCGGTCTGGCCGTGGATTGTTCGTCTCCAGCTACACATGTATGTGTGAAAGTGAAACGACTGAGCAGATTTTAACCAAATTTTGTCAGAAGCATCCTTAGGGGAAGGGGAACAAATTTTGTATAAATGGTGGGTCTGGCCCCCCAGGGGCCTGATGGGATGGGCCGAATAGGGAACACATAGTAAATTCTTTAATATCCTTCTTCTTCTGTAGGAATGAAAGGATTTGTTCCATATTTAGTCTGAAGCATCCTTGGGTAAAGGGGAACCAATTTTGTATAAACCGTGGTCTGGCCTCAGGGGCTTGAGGGGCAGGGCCCAATAGGAGAAATATAGCAAATTCTTTAAAATCCTTCTTTTTCTGTAGGAATGGAAGGATTTGTTCCGTATTTGGTCTTAAGCATCCTTGGGTGAAGGGGAACCAATTTTGTATAAACCGTGGGTCTGGTCCTCCAGGGGCCTGAGAAGTGGGCCCAAATAGGGAACACATAGTAAATTCTTTAAAATCCTTCTTCTTCTGAAGGAATAAAAGGATTTGTTCTATATTTGGTCTGAAGCATCTTTGGGTGAAGGGGATACAATTTTGTATAAACTGTGGGCCTGGCCACCAAGGGGCCAGAGGGGCGGGCCAAATAGGGAACACATAGTAAATTCTTTAAAATTCTTCTTCTTCTGTAGGAATGAAAGGATTTGTTCGATATTTGGTCTGAAGCATCCTTGGGTGAAGGGGAACCGATTTTGTATGAACTGTGAGTCGGGGCTAAAAGCGTGCAATTGGACTAAATTGATTAAAGTGACTTCTTCTCTGGAACTAAGAGATGGATATCAACCATATTTGGTCTGAAGCATCCTTGGGTAAAGGGAACCCAATTTTGTATAAACTGGGGGTCTGGCCCCTGAGGGGCGGGGCCCAATAGGAGAAATATAGCAAATTCTTTAAAATCCTTCTTCTTCTGTAGTAATGAAAGGATTTGTTCCATATTTGGTCTGAAGCATCCTTGGGTAAAGGGGAACCAATTTGGTCTGGCCCCTGACGGGCCGTGCCAATATAAATTGTGTGTGTGGGGGGGGGGGGGGGGGGGGGGGGGGGGGGGGGTCAGAGGTGATGCAACGGTACAATTGTAGTACTGTTGATATTACTACACACTTGCTTTTATTGAATCATACAAACATTTTTAGTTGGTACTGTTGTCTACAAATGTAAATATATACAAATGCTTGGCATAAGGAGACGAATGCAGTCATGATATTAGAATTGACCCCTAGGGACCTAGTTTCTTAGTTACAGCTTGGAAACAGTTGAGTTCCTCACCCTATAAAACCATGCATATATATACAATTGCTGAGTATAAAGAGATGAATGCACATTTGCTTCCAGGATGGCCTTTGGGTCTGCCCCACCCTTGGAGACTTAACCCCTGGGTCATAACTTTGAAATGGTTAAGATCCCCACCCTAAAACTATATATACAATTGTTGGGCATAAAGAGACGAATGCAGTCATGATATTAGAATTGACCCCAGGGTCTTCCCCACCCTTGCACACTTAACCCCTGGGTCATAACTTTGAAACGGTTGAGATCCCCACCCCAAGACTGTAAATACATATGCTGGACAAAAAGAGACGAATGCAGTCATGATATTAGAATTGATCCTGGGGTCTAACTAAACCCCTATATAGGGACCCAGTTTCTGAGTAACAGCTTGGAAACAGTTAAGATCCCCACCCTATAACCATACATAAAATTGCTGGGAATGAAAAATCTAATACACACATACTACAAGAATTGGTATTGGGGTCTGGCATATTCCTTTGTATCTCATTTGGAGACTATTTTGCCATGATTGCTTAGATATCCAGGTGAGCGATACAGGCCCAAGTTATTGGTGATGGGTGAATACTTGACTGGCTGAAAGTTTCTGGAATACAGTATGAACATTTTCCTATGTGTATGTATATGAAAGCCTGCCCATTCAGATCACTATCATGTGATGAGACATGAACCAGTCATTTGATTTAGGCTTGATATGGGATTTTAGCCCTAACAGGGTGCTTCAAACAGATATAAATATGTACACCGTGTTTGTGTACAAGTAGATATATATATGAATCATTTAACATGCCTCCTGACTTGGGGGTATGGTGAGGTTGGGTGGGGAGGGGTTATAATGAAACAGGTACTTGACCTAAGTAGTACTAGTGCTGACAGCTGCTCCGGATCGGTCCTCATTGTCATCCTAATAGTTATACATGTCATGGCCACTCTGTCTTCAGTGTCTATAATGAACAAAATCACATACACACGTTTAATAAATTGTACTAATGTATATTAAAGCCATGTAGAAGCAGTGACAATAGTGTCTGCAATATACAGGAATCTGATTAAAGGTTGACCTATAGCATTAGTTTAAAATCCAGTTCTTATTGATTTTTAACACATTGGTACATGAATATCTGATGTTATGTGTGTACATAAATATCTGATGTTGTGTGTGTACATAAATATCTGATGTTATGTGTGTACATAAATATCTGATGTTATGTGTGTACATACATATCTGATGTGTGTGTACATAAATATCTGATGTTATGTGTGTATATAAATATCTGATGTTATGTGTGTATATAAATATCTGATGTTATGTGTATACATAAATATCTGATGTTATGTGTGTACATAAACATTCAATGTTTTGTTGAAGTGGCTTCAGCACCACATTGTTGAATTAAGTCATGACACACCACAAATCCATGTTCAATTAAATCTTTACACTCAAGCTGTCAAGTGTCATAGTCGTTAAATATACCTAGATGTATATAAATCAACAGGAAACCATTCAATATCTATAAAACTTATGTAATGAAAACACAGATACATGTAGCTTGTCAAATAGCTTCTAAATCCAACACTTCTGATACATGTATATGTATGTACACTGGTGTAAACATTGTGACCTATAGTGACACAATTTTAATGTTGTGCCAGACAGGGAGCCAATATGATCATGTTGTTGGGTGCTGAATGTGTGATCTGACGTAAATAACAATGTGTATAACTGTACAGGATATATATAAAGTTCTGCTATATGTTGGATGGGTACAATGTATAAGGGTGAAATGATATCCTCACATTATATATAGAGATAATGACCCACCTAAAAGTCAAGTATAGCTGGTAGATTAAACTGGCATTTCCGTTCTAAATCTGCTGTCATGCCAATGATTTGGCCAATTAGCGCACCGACTGCTCTTGTGCAGTGAGTGCTATACACCGTGTGATCTGTTGAAGACGATATATATCAAAGTCATTGACAAGCTTCCTTCTGTGGTATCGTTTGTGTATAGAGTGATGTGTATAGAGTGATGTGTATAGAGTGATGATCACAAATGTAGCAAAACACTGAAACAAAAGTTTACAGTAACCATTGAATTACTATGATTCTTCTCAAAAACCACTACAGAAAATTGTGAAAATGTTTCTGGAGAAAAATGTTCAGACAATGCTTATATAATGCGATTCCTTTTTTATAAATGCATGAAATATAGATAGTTAGGCAAGAATCTGTAATGATAATTTGGGTAGTCTTTGGGATGAGTTCTGGTACACAAAAAAGTTGACTTTTTTTTACTGTGCAATTTTTGCTTAGAAAAGTGATGACCTGATAAAATAAATGTAAAATTTTATTATGTATGTACCTGGATTGTTGTGAATAATTTTTTCTTTTTCCTAATTTCAGGACATTCTCACATGGCGATTGTGAGGTGTGTGAACAATGAAGGAGAAGGGGACCCTTTCTACGAGACACTAGGTGTTGTTACCCTCGAAGATGTCATTGAAGAGATCATTCAGGGGGAGATCATTGATGAAACAGACACACTGAGTATGTATATATGCCAAATGTTGTGATCACATGGTCTGATTTGTTGAAGCCCTTAAGGATCCCCGTCCCTCCGCCTAAAAACGTAATGATCGAGGCATTGGTTTTTTAGTGGCATGGTGCGGCGTCCGTCCGGCGTCCGGCGTCAACTTCTTACTTTAAACTTCTTCTGAGTAACCAAAAGGCCTAGGGTGATGATATTTGGCCAGAAGCATGCTTGGATGAAGGGCTACCAAGTTTGTTCAAATAAATGACCTTCATCAATTTTCAAGGTCACATGGGTCAAATATGTTAAAATCTTTAAACAACTTCTTCTGAATAACCAAGAGGCCTAGGATGATGATATTTGACCAGTAACATGCTTGGATTAAGGGCTTCCAAGTTTGTTCAAATAAATGACCTTGCCTTATATTCAAGGTCACAGGGGTCAAATATGTTCTTAACCTTTAAACAACTTCTTCTGAATAACCAAGAGGCCTAGGATAATACCAGTAACATGCTGAAATGAAGGACTACCAAGTTCAAATGAATGACCTTGACATATATTTTAAGGTCACAGGGGTCAAATATGTTTAAAACCATTGAATGACTTCTTTTTAATAAGCAAAAGGCCAAGGGTGATGATATTTGGCCAATAACATGCTGGGATGAAGGACTACCAAGTGAATGACCTTCACCCATATTCAATGTCACAGTGGTCAATATATGTTTAAATCTTAAAATGATTTGTTCTGTATAACCAAAAGGTCCAGGGTAATGATTTTTTCCAGAAGCATGCTGGGTTGGAAGACTATAATCTCTGTTCAACCTAATAATATAATGTCCTTGTTCGACATTCAAGGTCACAGGTGTCATATGTTTAAATCTTTTAATAGGTTCTTATGAATGAAACACTGATATTTTGCCTGTAACTGTATTTTAGTCCACTTTTAAGATTACAAGTGTGAGATTAACACCAGGTGAGCGATGCAAGCCCATTGGGCCTCTTGTTTTTCTACGGCATCTCTATTGCATAAGCAAACTATTTCTGAACAATAACCCATACCTTGCAGGATTTTCTTCAGAATGTTTGGGAAATTATGAAATTTCGATTTTTTTTATTGTTTTTTTTTTACAATTGAACAAAATGAAACAAAATATATATTATTCGATGCAACAATGGTTTATTACAAATATAACACATAAAAAGTAATAACAATGTCATCATTGATGAACAAAACACAAAAAAAATATAAAATAAAATAAAATAAAATAAAACTCTTTTCGTTGTCCTTAATGTGTTGCACATTAAGGACAACGAAAAGAAAATATAGGTGACAAAAAATAAATAGCTTGCGAACTTACTTATTGTACAAAAAAAAATGATACAAAAAAAACTAAACAAAGAAGGGAGACAACTCTTACATTTGTACAAATAATAACAATTATAAATGTCAAAAATTCATATATACAGTTTACAACATACAATTAGGCATGTTTATTTACAAATATAATACAGTAGGCATACCAACCAATAAAATTACTTCAAATGTAATGACCAATATATAACAAATTGCACATTGTGTATAAATAACATTATAACAAACACGGTACTTTACTGTGTCATAGCAAAAATGTCACAATCAACAACAATAACAATGTTCTACATACTTTACCCAACAATAATAAATTTCTTAAAACTGTACAAAAAAACTTGTATGTTGTGATATAAAAAATCACACTATACAACTATAATAAAGTTTAACATTCTGAACAAAACAATAATAAACTGACCATAGTGTGATATAAAAAATATCACATTATATTGCAATAATAAAGTTCGGCATTATATACAGATAACAACATACTATATGTATTGTGGTATCACAGATATCATAATATAAAACAATAATAAACTTTTACATTATGTACAAATAACAACATACAATATTGTGGCATAAAAATATAACATTGTAAAAATCACTGTTGTATGTAATATAAAAAATTAACTTGAGTTTTGAAAGTGCGTTGACAAATTCAGACAAGACATTTGAAATTCCTGAAACTCCACCATCACGTCGTCAACCTCACACTGAATATATACGTGTACTACATGTAAACGATATAAAGACCGGAATTACGCATTCTCTTCTTAATTTTTTATGTGGCGTCTCTCCACAACACCAAACACTTTTTTGAGAAGAGAGTCAGTAATTTGGGACTTATGTGTGACAAATATAAAAATATAATCTTGACTATTGTGATGCCGTGTGATACACTTGCTTGTTTGTATAAAAGACTTCCAAGACCATAATGTCTTTCCTGCTGGGTATTGCACAGCCGTAGCCTAGTGCCGCATTCCTTACAACCTTTCTGGTGCAGGTATTCCGATAGCACTGCAAGTTCAACCACTCGTCTACCCTGCGACCAGGTTATAAACAGTTATTGGTGTATTCTTGGTCACTATTAGTAGTACTGAAGGGATCCTCATCGGTGCCGGCTCATCAGTCAGATTGTCAGTAAGGGCCTCAGTAGATAGCGTCTCTTCAATGTGTGAACGAGTGTCACATTTTTTTGTTGCATAGTCGTGGTCAAGCAGTTCATATTGGACATTGTTGTTGTACATTATTAGTCAATTACATAATTGTCTGTATATGTGTTTCGTTTACATTTAAAACAGCCGTTTTTACGTCGGGGCTTGTGTGTCTGCCATGTAACTGCCACGGCGACGTTGATTACATCGTAACGACAGCTTTTTCCCCCTCACTTTAGTGATTGGAGATTTTCAACACAAGGGACGTTATTCAAGCGAAACGTTATTCAAACGAAATTTATTCAAGGGAAGATAACAACTTTGTTGAAATGGTAATCAGGGGCAGGTGACTCTAACACTGAGTGAGGTTAACAACATGTGGCCACTAACATATTAATTGCAACTTTAAATTAACCCAAATAAACTATCTTGGCTCACTTTTTCAGTTAGAGGGGTCAATGGTGTTAAAAAAATAAAAAATTGAAAGGCCGATAAGACCTAAGGGTTAATATTTGGCCTGTGGCTTAAGCTTGCTTAGATAACATAGTGTCAAGCTAAAGCCTTAATGTATACCGTAAAAACCCTTGTAATTTGTGCACTTTTTTTCCAGAAATGTAATACCCATAGTGGGGGGTGCGCAAAATACACAGGTATAAGCAATTTCATTAGTAGAGCTATTGTTAACGGGTAATCACAGATATAGTGTTAGCTAATTACTGCATTGTAATTTGTATTGACTGTAGTGTTGAGAAGTTTCAATAATTTATGCTGAAGCATGCGATCCTACCTGGCCAATTGTCCGGGACCAGACGATGTCGTTAAAGTTATGCCCTCCGGTTAACTTACCTGTTAATGTCGCCAAACCAGCAGTCATGACCATAGATGACCGATTTTAATAATTTTACAGTAGGTAAAAATTGTGTGGCCAAAAAATATAGCTGAACTGTGACATGACCTGGTTTGACGGGACGATACCCAAGCCGCCATTATGAGCCCTTCTCACTTATCGTAATTATGGTAATTAAAAGGTATCTAATTATGTCTTTCACCAGGAGATATACGCCAGCTGTTACAACACATTAACACTAATTAATTGGTATGTTTTTAAAGCAGGTAAACGTTTTATGTAAAATGTAGCTAAAATTAATTGATGAACATGCCAGTATGCGCACACGCGTGTGTTATGTGTAAACAGATAATCAAAAGAAAACAAACAACAAAATACACAATTTACGTAGTTTCTTCTTGGTTTATAATATCGTTTTACGTCAATGACAAAAAATCATAAGAAATATATTTAAAAAATAAAATTTTAGAGATCGATTTTCAGAGCATGAACATTGTTTTTTTCCCAAATTTTTTGGGTGTGCAAAATATTCGAGAAGAAGCTTTTTTCCAGATTTTCAGCCTCAAAAAGTACCTGCGCAAATTACATAGGTACGCAAATTACATGGGTTTTTTAAGGTATTAGCTTTCTGGCTATCAACTGCAAGTTTGTTTAAATAAATGTTACCTTTCCTATGATGAAGGTCAACTATGTGAGTTTTGTTTGCTAGCAACATTGAATAATGTATGATATAGGTACAGGCCTGTGGGACCTTCTGTTTTTATCCTAATTGGTGCCAAGTTTGTGAGAGATTATTAACAGATTGGGTGCGCTTGCTCAGCAAAATTACTTTCTTATCATTATTATGTAATCAAATACACACATTTACTTTAATGAAATATGTGAAGCACTGGTTCAATCCTTAATTAAAGCAGGCCTTGTGTGAACTTAATGTTAAATCAATACTCATAAACTGAGTATTGATAGGAATAATTTACCAACTCCACATGTCAATACTAGTTTTAGAATTGGCATTATATAAGGACGGACTCTAAACCTAAAAACTTTAAAAATAGTTACCTGCTGTACAAACGATGAGTGTCGATCTACAAGGCCCTTTTTTGGGCCCCAGTATATTCAGATTTTCACCTCATTATTTTGTTCAAAGATGTCCTATTGCATGACATGCAGAAAAACTAAGGTAAAACTTTTACCAAAAGTGGGTTTCTGGGGGTACCAAAAGTGGTATGGTAAATCACAAATATAGTTTGCTGTTTCAAAATGAGCTTAAAAACCAAAATAATACCATTTCTGTTTTTGAAAACATGTATAAATTAGACCAGCATAATTATGTAACAGATTGAAAAATGACAGAAATTCAATCGTGACTTGAAGATTGTTTATATGAAATGAAGGATTAAGTCAGGGGGGGTCTTTTCGGTCATTTTCAATTGAAAAGTAATTTGTTTTCTCAATAATTTCCTTTCTCAATAATTTCCTTTCTGATTAATATTTTGACTTGAAATTAACAACTTCACTCATTTAAGTAGACTTACATAAATTACATATTGACTACATATTTTCCTTTTGTTTTATACTGAGTTATGGCTTCTGGACACATCTCAAACTTGACTTTTTCAAATATCTCTCAATTTTAAGTGAATT